AACACTTTACAATACGGGTGCACTAATATGCATTAATTCATGCTTAACTAATACACAGATAGAGAAGAACTAAACCATTAATTAATGATTACTGCATCAGCAACTAATAAAGAGTCTACATGATTAATAGATTAAGTAATACATGAATTGCTATTCATTCAATGTGTCATTGTGTATTAATTCCTTAATAACATATTTTATTAACTAATAGTGTAAATTAATGTGTTAATTACCACAATTAGTCAAAGCTATGCACTTCAACTTCCAGTTGTCTGCTTTAATTATTCATTAGCTAATGATTTGCAAAGGTATCATTATGTTATGACTTTACTTGTTGGGGCACATCATTATTAACTAGTCATTTAGTAATTGTAGTAATTTGCACATGAATTTGCACTAACAATGAATTAATTAATCATGTATTAATGCATATTAGTGTACCTGTCATATTATCTGGAAGCTGAAATACAAGGTTTTGGCTCATTTTGGTAATTAACATATTAATGAACACTATTAGTTAAAAAAAATTGTTAATTATGGAATGAATCCACAATTAAATATTTAATTAATAACAATTAATGTATGAAGTAATACATTAACCTTACAGACTCTTAATTAGTTCCTAATGTGGTAATCATCAATGAATAGCTTAGATAATCATTACACATTAATTTAGCATTATCTGTGCATTAGCTAAGCGTGAATTAATGCTTATCAGTGCACCCATATTGTAAAGTGTTACCGATGTCATGTATAATTTATAGCAAAACATTTAGCATTAATTCAATCTCAAATAGATTCATTTAAAGTAGTTATTACTCCAACACATGTGTGACATCATTAACCAACGTGGTTGATTTGTGCCAATATGGTTTCAGGAAACAGTCGTGACTAGCTAGGTGATTTCTTCAACGATGCATCGTACTATGATAGTCGTCAATGTGTGTCATAATATTGGTTAAAGACTCTGAGATCTTGAAACTGAGATTGAGTACGATTGAGTGTCCTTGTTCATCTAACACTCTCTGGACATTCATTTCTCATCAGGGTATCTTCACACAGTCTAGCCTTGTTCTCTTGAAGTGCTGCATCATTTATTAGGTTAGCGATCCTCTAGGAAATTAAACAATGCTATTTTAGATCATAGGGATGAAGTCTTTGGCCTTGGCCTAGTAATCTAATATGGTTTCTTTGCCAGTGCCCTATGTCTCTCCGTAGTCTAATTTGAGATTTCATAGTAGGTCAGATCTATGGTCTTGTCAAAGGCGTCTCATATGTGTTGGCAGTGGTTTCAAAGTAACGAAAATGATAGAAAATTGAAAGAATAACGAAAGAATAACGAAAAGTGTAGAAAATGCTTAAAAGGATACACAAGCGAGTGTTGGATGGATGTAAGACGCTTGATGGAATATTCATATCCGTAATACAAATAGTGCCGGATCAGTTATAAGACCGTTCAATAGTTTGAGGTCAGTAAGATTATTGATGTTTTTGAACATCAAATTAAAAACAGTGAAATATTACTACAATTCAAAACTGTTCAAAGCTGTCTTCTATGTGAATATATAGTAAAGTGTGATTTTATTCCTGTGATCAAAGCTGAATTTTTAGGATCATTACTTTAGTCTTCAGTGTCATATGATCCTTCAGAAATCACTCTAAAATGATGATTTTATGCTCAAAAAACATTTGTTTAATATAAGTGTTGAAAACAGTAAATCTTTTTCTTTTTTTTTTTTTGGAAACTGTGATATATTTCAATTGTCAGGATTCTTTGATGAATGGGGGGGGGGGGTGGAAAGCATTTATTTTAAATGGAAATCATTTGTGGTCAATTTAATGCATGCTTCTAAAAAAAAAAAAGAAAAAGAAAAAGAAAGAAATCGTACGGACCCATTAAGCATCGAAAATACATTTTGGTCCAAAAATAACAAAAACTACGACTTTATTTAGTTTTGTTTTTTATAAAAATATAATAAAAAAAAATAAATTGCTGTATTTGAAATGTACCGAACCGAACCGTGACACAAATGTATCGTATCGAACCGAACCGTGAATTTTGTGAACCGTTACACCCCATAGAAAACTGTCATTAAGCGTAATTCACTCAGTTATGACATTTTTAATGCAAATATGACATTGTTTGAGATGTCTTTGTTATGACACCTTGACATAAACCAATACATCATAACTTGTCAGTGTCTTCGTCATGACAACTTGACATTACCAAGACAACACGACCTGACATAAATATGTCATAAACATGACATAGTAGGTGAATTATCAAACTTAAGAAAGCACTTAGCTTTATGGGTTAACATTACATTAAACTGTCATGCGGTTGGTTTTGACTTTGGCTGTCATGAGGCCATTATAACATTTTAATGACAAATTCAATTTGTACCACTGTAGTTGAGGTCAAGAAAAATATTCAGCCTCATGACAGCCAATGTCAAAACCAAACACATGACAGTTTAATGTTAGCTAAGAGGTTTCTTAAGTTTGACAATTCACCTGCTATGTCATGTTTATGACATAATTATGACATTTTATGTTGTCTTAGTAATGTCAAGGTGTAAGAAAGACAATAAGACAATAAGAAAGACATCTCAAACAATGTCATATTTGCATTAAAAATGTCATAATTGAGTAAATGACACTTAATGACAGTTGTCATAAACATGCATAAACCCTCCTTCATATTTATGACATGTGTCCTGTGATGCTTATGAAGATGTCATGTTGTATTATTTTCCTGTTATCACCGTAAAGCTACTTTGAAACACTCTGTATAGTAAAAAGCACTATATAAATAAAGGTGACGACTAGTTATCAAATAAAAGCACACTCAGACCTGTGTGATACAGGCTCCGGTGAAGGCCACGATCACGGCCACCACGTTCACGGTGAGCTGGAACTGGAGGAACTTGGAGATGCTGTCGTAAACGTTACGTCCCCACATCACGGCCTTCACGATGCTGGAGAAGTTATCGTCGGTCAGGATGATGTCGGACGCCTCTTTGGCCACATCTGTGCCTGCGATTCCCTGCCGAGACACAAGCCCTCACATCGTGACAAAAATCATACATTCATTCATTCACTAATGCTACCATGACCAGGACATGCCGAACCATAAACAATATGCATTACAAAACATTCCACAAAACCTGGTGCAGTCATCTATTTTCTTTTCTAAGTCAGTTACCATACATAAAAAGGTAGATCCGTCTCATTTAAATAGGAAAATTAATGCAACTGGCCCCAGGTCTTTTTTTTTAGCCCAACGTCAAAAGCGAATTGTCTGCACATGAACCTTTTAGGGCTCCCATCATTTTATGGATTTAGTGTGTTTTGGGCTACACTTTATTTTAAGGTGTCTTTGTTACAGTGTAATTATATATTTAAGTACTGAGAAATATTAAGCAACTACATACTAACTATAGGGTTAGGGTTTGGTTGAGGGTTAGTTGCATGTAATTATGTATAATTTACTGTTATTACTATGGTAAGTACATGTAACAAGGACACCTTAAATAAAGTGTTACCGTGTTTTATTTTAATTCAATTTTTATACTAAGTCAATTTTATGAACTAAACAGATTGTAAAAATACTTTATCACTAGGGCTGGGTAATCGATTCTCATTTTTACGAACCGATATCGATTCTTAACTCTCAGGAATCGATCAGTCATCCTGTTTCATTTGAATGAATGGGACATTGTATCGCAGCTGCGCGCATCCAATAAATCGTAATAATCTATGTCCTTTGTTACTATTATTATGAAATAAATTCTCAATTTTCAAATTACGTCCATTTTCTTTAGAAATTCGAAAACATAAATAACGTTTTGGCGCTGTGGCGTGAGATCGCTCTGGAGAAGCAGCAGCGCTGATCTCTCCTCAGGCTTAATAATACCAGTTACAGCGCGAAATAAACATGAATGAGCATCTGAAAGTATGTTAACAGATAGAGGACAACTTATCGAAATCCGTATCATGTCACATTGATTCGCTCAATCAGTGTTTCAACCGTGGAAAGACGTCAGTTAAACAGCTTGTAATCAATGTCATGTATCGTCATATTTACCTCAGGAAACCCACATCAACTCGTTAGTCAGCTAGAAAAAATAACTCTAGAGAGGAGCATTTTGCTAAATATATACACCATATATTACATATGTATTATAATCTTAATGTTCTTCAATATTTAATGCATATTTTAATAAATATGGCAAGTTTTTATGGCAGCCACCATTTAAATGTTTATAATTCATATAATCTTCTTATTATAAAAATAAGTGTAATTTAAGTGTTTGTATAGCTACAAAACAGTTCATTATAACCTTCATATTAGGCTAATGAAGCCTAGGCTACAACTAGACCCCCCCCCCCCCCAGGGTTTACAGCATTAGTTAAGAGATTTGATTTCCTTGAGGAAATTCGCCATTTATTGTAACTGATATCCAAAATAATCGATATTGAATCGGATCGAATCGGAATCGAATCGAATTGCAAGCTTGTGAATCAAAATCGAATCGAATTGTGAAATTTGTGTCAATACCCAGCACTATTTATCACTAGAAAAAAAAAACCCATTAAACATGAAACTATAAAGCAATAATTTGAGACATTTTCCTTTTTATAGAACCTTTTTGGTGTAAAGTGTTCTTTAAAACTTAGTCTAGAACTAAACGGAAGTGATACTGAATAGATGAACAGCTACTGAAGCGAGATCAATCCTGATGTGGACAGTGTGTGATGACCGGTGTCTAGGTAAAAAGTAAAGATGTTTACACACACACACACACACTGATGATTTGATGAGCAGAAATATAGGAATATGCTCTCTAAACTTATGGAAATAGAAATGGTTTCCTAAAAAAATTTAGGTTTCTCAGAAAACACAAAAAACCTGAACCAATAATTGAAGTCTCATTGTCTTTTGACTTAGGCAAAAATAAAACGGCCTTAGTCCCACTCTTGACATAGGCCATTACACTAGAATTGAATGATCTGTTCAACTGACAATGACTTTTACCAGAGGTGGCCGGCATCATGAGGAGATGACTGTTTGTCAAAAAATGACTTCAGCAATTATTTTAGGAAGGTAATGTTATGCAAGTCAATTGAAAACAGGTGTAAAGCAATGGCTCCCACTAGGGGGCGCTCTGGACTTGGAGTGATTGTGAAAATGAGGACAGGCTGTGTTTGAGCAGCTTGAGGAGTAGGAGACTCGTGTGTTTGACGAGTTCTCACCATGGCAAACCCGACGTCTGCCTTCTTCAGAGCCGGCCCGTCGTTTGTTCCATCGCCGGTGACAGCGACGACCTGCCGCTGATCCACCAGAGTGCTGTCGATAATACCTGACACACAACACACACGCACACACAGATTACTCCAGAACATTTCTGCAACACCGGACACATTTGATCAGACAAAGCATTGCTTATATGACTAGTGCATTGTGCAATATCAAGCTAAATTAATTTTTACTAACAATGCGCATTAAATTCGTTACTGTCTTTATAAATCTTTGTTAATGTTAGTTAATAAAAATACAGATGTTCATTGTTTGTTCATGTTAGTTCACAACTAATGTTAACAAATACACCCTTTGATTTTAATAATTTATTAGTAAATGTTGTAATTAATATGAATAAATGCTGAAGAAGTATTGGTCATTCTGAGTTCATGTTAAAGGGATAGATCACTTTGAAATTAATTTTTGGCATGTTTTAGCTTACCTCAAGGGCATTCAAGTTGTAGGTGTCTTTGTTTCCGCAGTAGTTTCAATTTTGATATTTTTAGGTCAAACCGTTCTTGTCTATCAGTCATATAATGGAGGTCTATGGTCACCACCTCAAAGAGCATGCACAGAGAAGTCCAAATTAAACATGATTTAATGACTCGTAAATGTAAGTTCACATTGATGGCCTAAGACACGAAACGAACGGTTTGTGTGAGAAAACGAACAGTATTTATATTGCTTTTACCTCTTGTAACACAGGTACGTCCAAGTGAGGTGAGGGCGCAGGTGATCTATCACGCATGTATGTCACTCATTGTTTACACAGAGATTTCGGAAGTGTTACCTTTCACTGAAGATCTAAACATATTATACATTATACATGAAATCGAAATGGATTTCATGTATAATGTATTCGATTTCGATATATCAACAGACAACGTTGATTTTTTTTTTCGGCGCTTTCCGGCACTTGCGCAGCTCTGAAGTGCCCGCGGCCTCAGAGGTAAAGACAAAATAAATACTGTTCGTTTTCTCACACAAACCGCTCGTTTCGTGTCTTAGGCCATCAATGTGAACTTACATTTACGAGTCATTAAATCATGTTTAATTTGGACTTCTCTGTGCATGCTCTTTGAGGTGGTGACCATAGACCTCCATTATATGACTAAAAATATCAAAATTTAAACTACTGCAGAAACAAAGACACCTACATCTTAGGGTTACATCTAACCCTACCCTAAAAGTGAACTCTCCCTTTAACTAAGGAAGTTAACTAATGTTAACTAATGAACCTTATTATAAAGTGTTACCATTTAATAAACAGCCAATATCCTAGTAGCATGCTAATAAGAAACACTAGGTAATAGTGAAAATTGGACCCAATATATAAAGTATTCATTAGTGAATCATAAAATATAATTCATATATTAATTTCTTCACTAATTTCATTAATTTCTAAAAAAGATTCAACATCAGATGTTGCTACTTGCTACTCCTTTACTGAAATAAATGACATTAAACACTTATAATGAACAGCCACATGTCGTCCGCATTAAAGCTATGCGATGTGAAGACATCGGGGACAATCAAGCGATTACTCTTAGAAATGAAATCCACCAATGATGTAATTACAACACAGCATTTACTCACAGTATGTTAATTATCCTGTAACTTCAGCCTTGACGTTCAGTCTTACGCAACCATCACAGACTTTACTAACACACTTGGGCTGTAAATGCCAATGTTCATGAAATCAAGTGGATTATTCATCTAAAAATGTCAGTTCTTGTTCATCAGAACCATTTTGTAATGGTTGTAGATGACATGAGCATAATTGCATAAGCTTCATTAGAAAGTGGTTATAAAGTTTATGAGAGCAACATAGAACAAATAAGTTGTTTTTGTGTGATATTCAAGTTTCTCGATATGCTTCCTCATAACTTTTAAAGAAAAATGCAAAGACAAAAACAGGGTCTGTACATCCAGCCGGATCTCATTAATGCATCTCTATTGCATGCATTGTATTTATTCTGCAATTTATATGTGAAAGTCTGTTTTTATGATTTTGTTTTTGTTGGATGCATGGTAATATGCACTTTATGGTAATACGCACAACATGCACCCCATACCACTAATCCTATCCAAGGGGGTTACAGTGCGTATCATACAGTATTTCTTCTGTTATACTCGCTCTTACAAATGAATTATGTTAAATATTTGATAAATTTAACTACACAATTAGATAATAACAGTTTATCTCAACCAGTGACCAAGCAATGCTTCATGTTGCTCAGTCTGTGTGTAAAAAGAGCATTAGCAATTACAGAAAACACACTTTAGCAAAACATGATCAGCTCGAAGTGTACAAATCATTTTTGGTCTCAAAATTTCACTGCAAGTCACTGTATGGAGAATATTTGGGTTTAATATGTCACGTTTACTTTATTTTGCTTTCCTCACTTACATAAATGCACATAAAAAAAACATCAAAAATGATATCTGGTGTCTGACTGTATCAATTGATTTGATAACTTTGAGTTCTTGTCATGTTTTATTAAATGTACAACAAATATACTGATAATGTGAGAAATGTTGGAGGTGTCTGAATACATTTTTACGGATCCCCTCTAGTCCCACTTTGGTAAAAAAAAATAATTATAACTATCTTGTGGCCTCAAGATAGTAACTCGTGGCCTCAAGATACTAACTCGTGGCCTCAAGATAGTAACTCGTGGCCTCAAGATACTAACTCGTGGCCACAAGATACTAACTCGTGGCCTCAAGATAGTAACTCGTGGCCTCAAGATACTGTAGTAACTCGTGGCCACAAGATAGTAACTCTATTTTGAGGCCACGAGTTACTATCTTGAGGCCACGAGTTAGTATCTTGAGGCCACGAGTTACTAACTCGTGGCCACAAGATAGTAACTCGTGGCCTCAAGATAGTAACTCGTGGCCACAAGATAGTAACTCGTGGCCTAAAGATAGTAACTTGTGGCCACAAGATACTATCTTGAGGCCACGAGTTACTATCTTGTGGCCACGAGTTACTATCTTGAGGCCACGAGTTACTATCTTGTGGCCACGAGTTAGTATCTTGTGGCCACGAGTTACTATCTTGAGGCCACGAGTTACTATCTTGAGGCCACGAGTTACTATCTTGAGGCCACGAGTTACTATCTTGAGGCCACGAGTTAGTATCTTGAGGCCACGAGTTAGTATCTTGTGGCCACGAGTTAGTATCTTGAGGCCACGAGTTACTATCTTGAGGCCACGAGTTAGTATCTTGTGGCCACGAGTTACTATCTTGAGGCCACGAGTTACTATCTTGTGGCCACGAGTTAGTATCTTGAGGCCACGAGTTACTATCTTGAGGCCACGAGTTACTATCTTGAGGCCACGAGTTACTATCTTGAGGCCACGAGTTAGTATCTTGTGGCCACGAGTTACTATCTTGAGGCCACGAGTTACTATCTTGAGGCCACGAGTTAGTATCTTGAGGCCACGAGTTACTATCTTGAGGCCACGAGTTAGTATCTTGAGGCCACGAGTTACTATCTTGAGGCCACGAGTTACTATCTTGAGGCCACGAGTTACTATCTTGAGGCCACGAGTTAGTATCTTGAGGCCACGAGTTACTATCTTGAGGCCACGAGTTACTATCTTGAGGCCACGAGTTACTATCTTGAGGCCACGAGTTAGTATCTTGTGGCCACGAGTTACTATCTTGAGGCCACGAGTTACTATCTTGAGGCCACGAGTTACTATCTTGAGGCCACGAGTTAGTATCTTGAGGCCACAAGTTACTATCTTGAGGCCACGAGTTAGTATCTTGTGGCCACGAGTTAGTATCTTGAGGCCACGAGTTAGTATCTTGAGGCCACAAGATAGTTATAATTAATTTTTTTTACCAAAGTGGGACTAGAGGGGCTCCGTACATTTTGGTTTGACTGTATGCACGTAAAAAACAAATTTCCATGTATAAATCATGATCACTCACCTTTGACTAGTGTGTGTTTGTCCGTCGGTGAGGATCTGGCAAGCACTCGCAGTTTCGGCCAGACTTTATCGATCCGTTCCTGCTCAACCTGTGAGAGATAAAACACAGACCTGAGACAGACATCCATCATGACACACCTGTCTAATGGGATGCGTACAATAACAAGCCGTATATAACTTTTAAACATTAAGGTTAAAGGGATACTTCAGGATTTAGCATTAAGCTTTGTATTAGTAGAAAACCTGTAGTATTTTCAAATTACTATGCTTTCGACCCTCATATCCCCCTGAGATGAGAGATTTATGTATTGTTTTTCTGGAAAAAATCCTCCGATGACGCAAAAATCGTCATTTTGCGTTGCGTCATCAGAGGATTTTTTTGGCTAGAGGCTAAAGACTCATCACAGAGACTCACCAGCAGCCTAGACTTGTTGTTTAACTACTGCACTCTGTTACCGGTAGGCGTGGTCTCTTAGGCTAGCGAGGCAAGTGCATTCTGGGAGTTGTTGTCTTTCATCCACATAAGCCAAAAATACATTTTCTGGCTTTTCTCAGTCTAGAAAGCTCCAAATTCAAAAATAATTTCACATTTCTTCTACATAAATGACCCATTTTAAATACACATTCATCTTTCCAGAGGTGAAGTATCCCTTTAAACATTCATCAAAGAAGTCACTGCATGTACATACAGTAAATGATTTCACACAGCGTCTTTCATTCGTGTGTGGCTTGTTTGTTGGTATGGCCACCTATTAAATGTGTTCAACATCAATAACAGCAGTGCATTACTTGCAAATGCGACTAATGTAATCACAACATAATAAAAAAGCCCCATAAATTATCCGAGTTCTGGAACGCGACAGCATGGCCACAGATGGCTAAATGCTCAGGATTCAATATACATTAAGCTCTCTCGACCGCATTTGTGCAGTGATGTTGATTAGCACAGTCGTTTCAACTTGTTCTTTGGTGTTTTTCAGTGCAAAAAGCATGTCTATAGTAATGCACTTTCCATTAGCCCAGAGTTGCTAAGGCTTTAAAAGCAGAAATGTGAAGCTCACAGGTGTACCTTGATTCCTATAAGGTGTATGTAAGCATTGATTCACAAATGCATGAAAGACATGTTATTTTCCATAAAAAGTAACTAAGTAATGTAATGGATTACTTTTGAAAGTAACTTTCCAGGCCATATCTCTCACAATTAGAGGAATTTCCTAAATAACTTCACTTCGTCATCTTTTCAAAATCCTTAAAGTTTATTCTGAGGTTGAAATTAGACTTTGATTTCAAGTGTGATGCTGTACTCTGTTGCTATTTATGATCACTATCATTGTGATTTGTAATTCAAATTATTGCATGATTAATTGTTAAAAGATCGCAATCTCGAACACAATCTCATTCCTAGATGACAGTGATTCGGCTCTGTGTCTATTCAAATTTTGACATGTACAATCACAATGAACATTCAGATCTGAGTTCTGATCCAGAGAGAGCCGTAATATGAAACAGCTTCACAAACAGTCTTTTCAGTTTTTAGTTCAGATTTAAACACTGAGGTCTACGTTAGAGATCAAAATACAGTAAATCCACATTTGAAATAAAGACTGTTTTAATTACATCGTTTCACCAGTAGGTGGCGAAAAGTGACCGTAAAAACTGTATTTGTCATTGAATCATTCATTCAAGAGATTCATTCAAAAATGCTGATTCATCCAATAATCATTCATTTAAACCAAAAATTAATTGCGATTAATCGCATCCAAATTAAAAGTCTGTGTTTACATAATATGTGTGCTGTATATAATTTTTTTTTATATATATATATATATATATATAAATACCTATGCATGCATGCATATATTTAAGAATTATTTGCGCTTAAATTCTGTATATATATATATATATATATATAAATACATAATCTATATTATATAAATATAAATATTTTATATATGAATAACACATTTTCTTAAATATATACATGCATGTGTGTGTATTTATATATACAAAATAATTATATACAGCACCAGAATATATTATGTAAACACAGACTTTTATTTTGGATGCGATTAATCGCAATTAATTTTTGCACAGCCCTAATATATATATATAAAAAATATAAATACACACACATACTTGTATATTTAAGAAATATTTTCATGTATATACTGTATGTAGATTTATATATAATTTATATTATATATAAATATAAATATTTTATATATAAATAATATTTTTTCTTAAATATACATGCATATGTGTCTATTTTTATATATACAAAATAATTATACACAATGCACCCACATATATTATGTAAACACAAACTTATTTTGGATGCGATTAATCGCGATTAATCATTTGACAGCCCTAGTAAATATCATCTGCAACAAATTCGTGTGGTGCGACTTCATTCACTCACTCTGGATTTCCTTCGTAATGTAGTCGTGTATGCAGGTGCGAGTGGCTTTATCTAATGATATGCAAACAACTCACATGTGCTGTGACAGTCTTTCTAGAAAAACATGGAAAAATATGAATGACTATATGTGATCTTCGTCTCAGAATGTGAATGCCTCTCTTATAGTGTTACACCATTATAAGTAGCTTACTTTAAGTCTGTTTGTTTCTTAATAGGGGACCAGTCAGTCTTATTTTCTGTGGTATGTGATATTCTTCCACAAAAGTCATCAATAGAGCTTGATTGGTTATGTTTGAGTACCTCTCCCTTCTCGTTCCTGATCCTCCTGTTGAACTCTTTCCCGTCGATACACAGAAAGTCTTCTCCGGGCTGGATGATGCCACATTTAATAGCGATCGCTCGTGCCGTATTGATGTTGTCACCTGTCACCATACGCACAGTGATTCCAGCACGCTGGCATTTCAGGATGGCGTCGGGCACCTGCGGGCACACGAGTGATCAGCGGGCATTAACTCGCTCCAGAGGAAAGGGTAAACCAGAACACCACCGCAACACAACCAGTGAGCGCTCATTAGGAAGAATTCAAAGATTTCTCATGCACTAATTATATGCAGTGCTGGATTTTATCATGTAACAAAACACAAAATTATTCATCTGAAGGATTAAAGGGTTAGTTCACCCAAAACTCTGTCAATAATTACTCTCCCTCATGTTGTTCCAACCCCGTAAGACTTTCGTTCATCTTTAGAAAATAAATGAAGATATTTTTGATTAAATCTGAGAGCTGTGTCACACCTCCATAGGCTTCTGTGTAATTAAGATTTAGTAAAAACATTGTTAAAATAGTCCAAGTGACTACAGTGGCTCAATCTTAAGTTTATCAAGCGATGAGAATACTTTCTGTGCACAAAAAAACTACTTTATTCAGCTATTCATGTTCTTCCTCGAAGAGGTTGTGTGGGCCTTGAGTGGTCAGAACCATAAACTGTAAAAAATATGGACAAAGCGTCTGTGATGTCACCATAGACTCTCTGAAGAACAGGTTTGAGGCTGTTTTATGGGGGTTATGGGCGGCGCCATACTGGAAAATCTTGAAAAATACAAAATATAAATGTTCAGAAAGGATACAGAGGTGGTATGATGTGTTGTGTCAGATCATGGCCGAGACGTCCAAATTCACTCGGCGCAGCCCGTTATCAGCTGTCAATCAAAGTTAACCGCCCTTATTTGTCATACATTTTATATCTAAATATATAATCTAAACTAACAAATTCACCCCCCTCACAGTTGTCAGGCACGCAGAACATATTGAAGATTACAATAAAAGTCCATGGGACCAAACTGTAAACATATGAATTTATGCTGTGAAAACAGATATTTTAACATGACGTCTATGGATATTTGCTCTCTTTTGGGACCGGCCTCTAGCGGATTTTGCAGTTTATCGCACTTCCGGATAGGCTTCATCTTTCAGATTAGAATATTGGCGCTTGGTCAGAACGTAGGCTCCCTATTGGCCGATGCTGGTCATGTGTGTGATTCTGGCCAATAGGTCTGACGTCCCCAGAAGCGCTGCGCTGTTACCAAGCGGCAACATTCTAATCTGAAAAATGAAGCCTACCCGCAAGTGCGAAAAACTGCAATACATCGAAAATCTAGAGGCCGGTTCCAAAAGGGAGCAAATATCCATAGACCCCATGTTAAAATGTCCGTTTTCATAGCATAAATTCATGCTTTTACAGGTTGGTCCCATGGACTTTTATTGTATTTTTCGATAGGTTCCGAGTGCCTGCCAACTATGAGGGGGGTGAATTTTTTTCTAACTCATTAGTAGGGTTGGGTATCGAGAATCGAGTATCGATTGGAACCGGGACTAACTTTTCGTTTCAAAATCGTTCAAAAGTTCAAATTTCGATTCCTAGTTTCGATATTCACAGTCCGCCGAGCTGAAGAAGAAACCGCTGAAGAACACCAACGAAGAAGCGTCTACCGGAAGTGTTGGTATAACCGCGCGAGTCGAACATGAGTAGCTTACGTCAACGGTCCAAAGTGTGGCTTCACTTATCTAAAAATAACGAAATCTCGGCAAAATGCAAAATTTGTGACAAAAGGAATATTTGTGACAGAAGGAGTATTTCCTTCCGAAAGACCGTTGGTTAGCATGGTTAGCTAAACTTTTTTGACCCTGCCTCTTAAAAGACTCGGAATCGAGAATCGTTAGGAACCGGAATCGAAACAAAGGAATCGGAATCAGAATCGTTCAAATTCAAACGATACCCAACCCTACTCGTTAGTTTAGATCGTATTTAGATATAAAATGTATGACAAATAAGGACGGTTAACTTTGATTGACAGCTGATAACGGGCTGTGCCGAGTGGAATTTGACGTCTCGGCCATGATCTGACACAACACATCATACCACCTCTGTATCCTTTCTGAACATTTCTATTTTGTATTTCCCAAGATTTTCCAGTATGGCGCCGCCCATAACCGCCATAAACAGCCTCAAAACTGTTCTTCAGAAAGTCTATGGGTGACGTCACAGACGCTTTGTCCATATTTGTTACACTAGGCCCACAGAGAAGAAAACAAATAAATTTAAGGTTGAGCCACTGTAGTCACTTGGACTACTTTAACAATGTTTTTACCAACTTTCTGGGCCGTACGTTTCAATTACAATAGAAGCCTATGGATGAGTGAGACAGCTCTCAGATTAAATCAGAAATATCTTAATCTGTTCCGAAGATGAACAAAAGTCTTACAGGGTTGGAACAACATGAGGGAGAGTGATTACGGAGTTTTCATTTTGGGGGTGAACTAATCCTTTAGGTTCCTAAAACCAACCAACAGACCAGCTCAGACCAGCACACTCTATAACCTTGTTTGGGAAACCCCAGTTAAATTTAGCGGTCATCTTGATTCAGATTTATGCTGAATCAAGCAATGCAAGGTTTTTTTTGCAGTGGGATTCTAAAATATTTGAAATCAAATTTGCAATTTGCATTTACTGCACACACACACACACAGGGTTATTATCGTTAACTAAAAATATTGTATTTATTTATTCTGTTAATTGTAATTAGGCTGAAATAAAATGAAATTTTACGAAAAAATAAAAAAATTTCGTGAAATTTTACAAATAAAACGAAAAATTTGAGACTAAACGCAAATTAATAATGTTTCCTTGGCAATAAACTGATCGATAGATCGATAGATCGATAGATCGATAGATAGATAGATAGATAGATAGATAGATAGATAGATAGATAGATAGATAGATAGATAGATAGATAGATAGATAGATAGATAGATAGATAGATAGATAGATAGATAGATAGATAGATAGATAGATAGATAGATAGATAGATAGATAGATAGATAGATAGATGGTCTAGACACTGCAGCGATAGATGATATCTGATTGACTAGACCTTTAAGTATTTCTGAGAACCGTGAAGATGAGCCGGTACTGCTAAACTCATCAGGAGAACAGGAAGAGCCTCATCAATTAAACAACACAGCAGAGGAAGGTGACGTGGGAACTTTAGACATTTAACACTAATGGATTTGTTTACATATGCTTAGGTCTCGGCTGTTTATTTGGGAAAGGAGTGGCTCACGTGTCCCGTCAGGTAACAGAACACCAAATCTGTGTCACCAACGTCAATGAGCTTTTGCACAAATCGGTTCAATCCAGGACAACAGAGGATTCACTTTGCAGTGACCTTCATTAATGTTCCTTCATTCACACTGATATTCTGTGTTTCTGCAATTTCTGTAAGAAGCCTTCAACAAGCTGACAATTACTCTAGAGACGGAGAACGAGAGCAAAGAAACGGCGGGATAAAAAGAAGAGGTTTAATAATGCATCAGTATAGACGCTTCTTCAGTCCCTGTGTGTGAAGATGAATGATCATTTGAGGACCGGGCCACTCTTACACAATATTAGCCTGGCAAGCCAGACCTACTAAGATGTTAGGTCTGGGAACTCACAATTGGCATACCTCAGTCCGACGGGCGGTCTATCCCTCTGAACGCAATGTAGCGCCACAACCAAACAGTGCAATGAACGGCTGTGGCTGAGTGAGTGTCATGCGTTTTCACACCAGCGGAGCTAGTTGATATATTAAACTTTTTCCGTATCCGGTCATCAAAACTTCAAACATATCTTCCTTTTTTAAGAATGCTTAAGTGACGTTCTCTTAACTCCAAGTCATCCAGAGTCGCGGCCAAAGCCGATTCGAAAGACCGCTGCCTTCAAGTATCAGGGAAATCACCTATGGAAATCACGGCGCAGAACCGTCACAACTCTGCCGTCATTGTGATAAGCCCGCCCACCAACTCTATACACGATGTGATTGGCCTGACCAGAGTTTGGTTTTTCTACTTTGAAAGCCAACGGAGAATTTCTAGACCACACTGGCCACAAAACAATTTTTGCTGCCGCTAGGGTGCGTCTAGATTTCTAGGGTGCGTCTAACACAATATCACACCTGATGAAACATCTCTACCGATTCCCAATATTTTCCTGCAATCTCAAACCACATGCAGTAGACATTGCATTTAAACAGTAAATGTGGTGAAAAACCTTCAGTTGTATAATTGATAGTTACTGCACGCTCTAAAAACCAATGCTGGGTTGTTTCAAGCTTTCAACCCATGTTTGGGTCAAATATTGAACAACCCAACCGTTGAGTTGTTTTTGTCCAAATTTGACTCAACAATTGGTTGAAACAACCCAGCATTTTTTAGTACAAGGCATTTTTAGCGAGTAAAAGACTTTTAGTAATTGTACAAACGTCCATCTTCAGGTCAGGCTATTTTCTGTGAAATCTTTACTGATTTTTATAAAGTAAATGAAATGTAAGAATACATTCGATATTGTTAGTAATATCTCCAGATGAACACTCACTGCACTGAAGCGACTTTGGTTTACGGAATTATCCAGAAATCCTTTTTTGAGCATCAGATATGATCCATCAGGCTTTTGAGGAAGTCATCATTGTATTACATTGCATTATTATATGTTTAAAACTTCAGAGCTTTGATCATAAAACTAAGCATTGAAATATCATCTTACTAAAACTTATTATTGGAAGATATTGGGTGATGACTGATATTCATTTGAATTTTGTGTAACTAGTCTGATCTCATGGATTTCCATTATAAACCATCTCATTTTTTGCCATATTAATATCAGAATCTCTTGAGCTGTTTTTCCTCCATATTCTCACTATAGCATACTATGATGTATAAAAACCTGATGTATCAAATCTGATACAATATGAGTTTTTATTGTATAAAGCTTCAATAAAAGTCTATTTAAAAAGACTACTATTTCATATCACAGGTTTCCAGGGTTAAGATAGTGTGTACTAGAACATTTTGAAAATATACAGTTTTTCACATTTTTAGCAAAATCAGTAAATGGTGAGGCGGAGGTCACTTTACAGGTGTGTTCTCATGCATAAAATTGTAAATATTTTAAATAAAAACCATGACATGATCAAATGTGAAGAAAGTTCTTACCTCAGGTCTGACAGGATCCTCAATACCAACAACACATATAGCGGTCAGGTCGGTCAGGATGTTGTTCTCGTCCTCCCAGTTGGGCTCGGGGTTTCCAGAGAAGTCTCGATAGGCCACACAGATGGTCCTGAGTCCATCACACGCCATGGGTTCGATGATTTTCTTCACCATCTCGTCCCTGTCCCTCGGCCTGAACACGCGTGTTTCTCCAACATCGTTCAGAATGAGAGCGCACCTGACCCAAACACACCGGAGTCACACGTGAAGCAAGTGACGTATCATTGTGTCCATAACCATTGGGTTATCAATATTTGACTCAACCATGGGTTGAAAGAAACAACCCAGCAATTTTAAACTGTCCATCTTCAGCTTGTGCTTCACGTGTCTATTTTTTTGTGAAATCTTTTCTGATTTTTATAAAGTAAATGTAAGAATAACTTTAATATTGTTAGTAATATTTCCAGATGAAAACCGACTTAGGGTTGCTTCATTATCCAGAAATATTCTTTTTTTTTCTTAAATCATGAGCATCAAATATGATCAATCAGGCTTTCAGGAAGGTTTATTTGTTGAAGAATCTGCACTAAATTGCACATCTCAATGATTCCAGGCACAGTAATTCAACATAATGACCTTCATTTGCTATCGAGACATTGAAATGCTTTTATGAAGATTGCAGATGGACATCAGAGAGCTGATGAAAGGCGCTCACTTTTTAAGGATGATTTCAGACGCTCCTTTGCTGTACATCCTGAAGTTTCCGTCGGGAAGCTTGATGACGGTGCTCATGGATTTCCTCGATGAGTTGAACGTGTAAACCTTGTAGAGTTTCTCCTCGGGGATCTGGTTGCGGACGGTCTGGTAGTCTCGCTTCAGGTCCAGAACCAGTCCCAGAAGGCCACACTCGGTTTTGTTGCCCACTTGTTTGGGAAGACCTCCCTCTTTATCTGCAGGCTGGAATGGTAGAAAGCCAGAGAGGAGAGTTACACAAGCTACATACCGCATTTAAGTCACCGCACATCAAATCAAGTCAAGTCACGTCACGTAAAGTCATGTATCATGTGATAATATTGCTGAATATTAAAGGATAACTCAGGCGCAAAATGAACCTTTGGTCTAATTACACATTGGTACACAGTCAAGCGTTATCTGAGATTTGTCACGTCAAAGTCATGTGACATCACATCACGTCATGGTCACGTCAAGTCACGTCACGTCAATTAAAGTCAAGTGACGTCAAGTCACGTCATGTTACGCCAAGTAAAGTCACGTCAAGTCAAGTCACGTCACTTCAAGTAAAGTCACGTCATGTCAACTCAAGTCACATCACGCCAAGTAAAGTCGTGTCACGTCACATCAAGTCACGTCACACCAAGTAAAGTCATGTCACGTCAAGTCAAGTCACGTCACACCAAGTAAAGTCATGTCACGTCAAGTCAAGTCAAGTCATGCCAAGTAAAGTCACGTCACGTCATGCCAAGTAAAGTCATGTCACGTCACGTTACGCCAAGTAAAGTCATGTCACGTCACGTCAAGTCATGTCACGCCAAGTAAAGTCATGTCACGTCAAGTCAAGTCACGTCACACCAAGTAAAGTCATGTCACGTCAAGTTACACCAAGTAAAGTCATGTCACGTCACGTCAAGTCACACCAAGTAAAGTCATGTCACGTCAAGTCAAGTCACGTCACACCAAGTAAAGTCATGTCACGTCAAGTTACGCCAAGTAAAGTCATGTCACATCACGTCACGCCAAGTAAAGTCATGTCACGTCAAGTCAAGTCATGCCAAGTAAAGTCTCGTCACGTCATGCCAAGTAAAGTCATGTCACGTCAAGTTACGCCAAGTAAAGTCATGTCACGTCAAGTCACGTCACACCAAGTCCTGTCACGTCAAGTCAAGTTCATATAGCACTTTTTACAACACAGAGTGTTTCAAAGCAGCTTTCCCAAGAAAACAGGAAAATAATGCAACAACATTTGTTTCCAGAAGAAAATAGCGTCAAAGTCCAGTTTAAGTAAGATCAGTGATGGTTCATTTCTGTTGTAAAAGGTTATTAATTTAGTTCATTTATACAGTATATACAGCCACTCTGGAGAAAACTGTGATGTCATCATCCAGCTCAGTTCAGAATATTTCTGAATATTAAAGGACAACTCTGGCACAAAATGAACCTTTGGTCTAATTACACATTGGTACATAGTCAACCGTTCTCTGAGATTTGTTTTCAAGATTATCAAATATAAAGAGTTTAATCTCTTAAAACTGTTTAGCTTATAATGCTAGTATATGGGGCATAGAGTAATGAAAATAAAAATTGCTAGTTAATGCCACTAACAAGGCTCAAAACAGTCTCACTTGGCTTGGTGTTCGTGGTTCGACTGCTTGAGACTGTTTTCCAAAGATGGCTCCTGCCTGTTTTCGTGAAGTGGATTGTCTTTATTAAATATCTTCTTATTAAACGGTCTGTACACTTACAAAGTTCTCAATGCTTCGTTTTGCATGCAGGGACCCACATTATATTACTGTGTTAGTTTGGGGCTATTTTGAGCCTTGTTAGTGTCATTAACTAGCGATTTTTATTTTCATTACTCTATGCCCCATATACTAGCATTATAAGCTAAACAGTTTTTAGAGATAAAACACTTTACATTCGACAATCATGAAAACAAATCTCAGATAACGGTTGACTATGTATCAATGTGTAATTAGACCAAAGGTTCATTTTGCGCTGGAGTTCTCCTTTAAGGGTATATTAAATTCTGTTCTATTAATGTTAAGAATCATTAAGGGTCGCATAACAGTTTCTTTGCAGTTCATCACAGCCGTATCAACAGCTTGGATGCCTCACAGAAGGAGAACAGGTGATTGTTTACTTTTTTTATTCATATCTTATAGCATTTTGCACAGCAGCTCTGTATTAATTTTCCTCAGTCATTCTGGGTTGGAGCCTTTACATTTTAGCTTTACTATATCTACAATATAAATATGCCGTGTAAAATGACATACAGTAAGCTCTAAAGTGCCATTTTAACATCACCTGTGATATTTATAGGGTAACCTTATGATTTGAAATGATTTGTTTCAGCCTTTTTGAATGGAAGCTCCCTAAACCGGAAGTGCTACCCATAATTCAAAACGCAGTAAGATCGTCAGGAATATGGTGGATAATATCTCATATTTGCTCACCTGGGTCATTCAAAACTGCTCATGCGTATGATGCGGATTTCATAGCACCCTTTATTCCTCATAGCTGGCATTGAACACTCTCCTGAACAGCTGTCCTCTCCCTGGTCAACACACACTCCTATGAACCACGACATATGGCAAAACATGCACTGGCAGCAAATACTTCCTCTTTGCGGCCCCATTCGGCTCCTGATCTCCACACGGGCCCTCGCTCTGCTCTCCTTCTCACCGCAGGGCCCTCGGTGTCTCCTAGACCTAGAAGGTCATTTTCATAGCACCTCTTTGATTTCCCAGCGTTCCCTACCCTGGCAGGCCATGAGGGGAGTTTAGGCCATGCCAAAACTGACTGGCTTAAAGGTATAGTTCACCCAAAAAATTTAAATTATCCAATGATTTATTCGCCCTCAAGTCATCCTAGATGGATATAACATTTTTCTTACAGACGAATACAATCAGAGTTCTGTTCAATCATGTCCTGGCTCTTCCAAGCTTTGTAATGATGGTGAATGGCTTCAAAGTGGCGATCCATCAAAGTGCATCTATCCATCAAAAAAAAATGGATCTATCCATGATAAAAGTGTATCTATCCATGATAAAAGTGCATCTCTCATCATAAATGTGCATCTCTCATCATAAAAGTGCATCTGTCTATCATAAAAGTGCATCTATCCATGATAAAAGTACATCTATCCATCATAAAAGTGCATCTGTCCATCTTAAAAGCGCATCTATTCATCATAAAAGTACACCTGTCCATCATAAAAGTGCATCTATCCATCATAAAAGTGCATCTGTCCATCATAAAAGTGCATCTATCCATCATAAAAGCACATCTATCATCATAATAGCACATTTATCCATCATAAAAGTGCATCTGTCCATCATAAAAGTACATCTAGCCATCATAAAAGCACATCTATCCAGCATAAATGTGCATCTGTGCATCTTAAAAGTGCATCTGTCCATCTTAAAAGTGCATCTATCCATCATACAAGTGCATCTATCCATGATAAAATGCATCAATCCATCATAAAAGTGCATCTATCATCATAAAAGTGCATATCCATCATAAAAGTGCATCTATCCATCATAAAAGGGCATCTATCCATGATAAAATGCATCAATCCATCATAAAAGTGCATATATCCATCATAAAAGTGCATCTATTCACCATAAAAGTGCATCTATCCATCATAAAAGCACATCTGTCCATCATAAAAGTGCATCTATCCATCATACAAGTGCATCTGTCCATCATACAAGTGCATCTGTCCATGATAAAAGTTCATCTATGCATCATAAAAGTCCATCTATCCATCATAAAAGTACACCTGTCCATCATAAAAGTGCATCTGTCCATGATAAAAGTGTCTATCCATCATAAAAGCGCATCTGTCCATAATAAAAGTACACCTGTCCATCATACAAGTGCATCTGTCCATCATAAAAGTCCATCTATCCATCATAAATGTGCATCTATCCATGATAAAAGTGCGTTTGTCCATCATAAAGTGCTCTTTGGGGTTAAAGTAATGTCCACACAGCTCTTTGGGGTTAAAGTGATGCGTTCGTGTAAGAAAAATATCCATATTTAAAACTTTATCAACTAAAATAACTAGCTTCCGGCAGACGGCCTACGCAAGTCAAATGTTTAGGTGAGCTATCCCTTTAAATGAATGAGTGGCAGGCCGAGTCATCGCGGAGAGTCTTTGGCAGAGTCTCTGAACCACATGGAGTGGCTGCAGCCGGACAAACCACTTTGCCCAAAATGAGTCACAACTTATCAAACACGCGACAGCAGGATAGTTCACCTTGTCATGGGCAAGAAGAAAAGAATGATCCCTATTCTCTCAATAGTTTGTATATATGATAATGAGTGATGTTGTACTTTTCTGACCAACTTTTTCCACTTCTGATGTCATTTCTATTGATTAAATATTCACTAAGTTATCCTCAGCTTTCTCTTTTTTGTAGTAGATCATTAAACCATTATTGTGCCTCAGAAGCCTTACTAAATCAGTTTAGGGAGGAAACTTAATGCACAAACGTAAAGTCAGACAAAATACAGGCGACAAGTCAGATTTCAGATGCCATGGGATTTCATGACCACAGAGAATGACAACAGTGGACTTTATGACATGTTATAATATTTAATCGGTCAGTCATCCATGAGGGGCCGCAGCTTACTTCCACTTTGTTGTTTATGAGTTCCTGTGTGAAGTCACTGAAGGAAAATTCACCACTTTGTAAAGGCCTCTGAAATCTAAATTTAGTTTTTTTTTTTTTATCTTTTAGTATGAATATGTTAGCATAAGGTTATGAATAAGCTGGTTCCCCCCAAAAAAAATTACGAAATTCGCATTTAGGAGATATACGCATTCAAAATGTACAGTCTCTCACTTCCGCTAAAATGGATCCGGGATTTTATGACATCACCGTGAATTCAGCTTCTCATCACATCTCCTGTCCAATCAAATGCTCTGTAGAAACTGAAGCTCCGCCCCCTATGCTAAAAACAAGCGAGCGTTGACAGACAGAACAATATTTGAACTTCCGCATGAAGCGGAAGTTGAGATTGTCATTTTTTTCCTAGTCGTGACGTATATCCGAGTGAAACGGCTTCTGAAATTAGAAAAAATGTAGGGCAGGGCTTGATTTCATCCTTCGGGAATTGATTGGATCGTTGGAGGTTGCAAACAATTTGAATGCGATTCTCTGAGAGGTGGTGCACCGATAGCTGCACCTTCATCGGATCTGGCCGCACCC